AATTATATAAGTGTAACATCACCTCCCTTGACTTAAACTCCACACACCTAGAGATATAACCCAACATTCTGTTCGTTATTAGTAAACTTCAGTGCTTCAGTTTCATAGGTTCATCGCTGCTTAAGGCCACTACAGGTGAAGTTAATGAATTTAATGCATAATGTTAAGGAGTATATCAAATGTACGATTAATTCTAATTATATATCTATATCAAATTACTAATTCAGGGATTCCAGCAACATCCACAACAACAAAAAAAGGTATAATTTTCATACTCTGTTATACATAACTTCATAATAAGATACTTAATTTTCAATCCTTTAAGTTCTTATGAGGGTGTAATTTCTTATATAAATATGTAGAATAGATTAGTATGCCTTTTATTATCATTGCACAAATGTACAACGAAATTAGCTGTGCGTGTGTGTATATTTAAAAAAATAAAATAACATTTCAGATATTTTAGAACTAGCCACATCTTTTCATTTTCAAAAATTTTATTTGCAGAAATCAGGCACAGATAAAATGCATTTGTATGTTTATGTAGTACAATCATTCTGCACTGTCAGACACATGATATACTGAAGTCTCTCTGTCAGTTCCTCCTTCAGCTGTACTCAACCAGGAAGTCCCGTCTAGTCCTATTGTCGTCTTCCTGGTACTGGGAGCTTTTCTCCTCCTGCTGCTGGTGATAATAGCTGTCCAGCTGTACCAGAACAGAGTGCTGAAAAGAGGTACAGAATTATACAGCAGTAGGGTGACTCACATTAAGAATGATCTGTCTGAATGATTCTTATTAAGTCTGTATTATCTCCTACATTATCCATTGTTGACTTTAGTGGAGACAGATGGGTGTCAGGGGTCAAATAACACATCAAATAAGCATATAGGGATAGCCTAATCTAAAAATACTCTGCTTTATATATATATATATATAAACTTTCTGAGCTAAAGTTTAAGCCAAGGCCTTCACTGTTGTTCCTATGACAACAGACATGTTCCCAGACATAATAAAACACAGAATATATGGGAAATTGGGACTCTAAATTAAAGAGTTAAAGTGATATGTGGCCTGGATATCAGCTGTGTCTCTGTATGTCCACCTCCACAGCTCTGTACCAGGATCTCAGCCCTCTGTACGAGGGTCTCACCACTGTGCATGAGACTATTTATGAGGAGATAGAGTACAATCTGACCAGTTGGACAACCTACAGAGCCCCTCTAAAGAGTGAGTTAACTGTCTTGACCTCTTCAGATTCAAAAGAATAAACTTGTATAGCCACATATTTATGTATTAAAGTAGAATGTTGTGGGACAGTGAATTTCCAGTCATTTGAGGTGTATTTTAATGTGTTATTAATGAGATGTATCTATTTGCATCCTGTTGATTCTTCATCTCTAACCATGTGAATAGACCTCAGAAACCACATGAGGGCCTCATAGCTGCATTGCTGTAAAGGCCTGAGGGTGAGAGAGAAACCAGCCAATAGGGAGAAAGAGGATGTGGACAATATGAGCGTCAGTCAGCTTGCCTGGGCATGAGCATTAGCTACTCTAACCCCACACATCCTGTCTTCTCAGTCTGAGAGACAAAAGCAGAGGAAACTTCATGCAGAGTCTCCCTGAGCACAGGACTGACTGTCTCTCCTTCACAGGAAGTGTCCTCTCTGAGGAGCTGCCCTCTGGGTATGAAGATGTGGAGGACAGTGAAGGAGACCCTCTTTCAGGTAGGGGGCTGAGGTCTGTGAATTTGGTATAATGAATGTTTCAATGGGAACCCTCTTTAACACTATCAAAATCTTAAACGATTATGTTTCAGAGAGATGTCAGATTTAATATATTTTTCATTGTAAGTATATTTGATGGCTTTCAGGATTTTTTTTTGTAATAAATTTGGTTTTGCCTTTATCTTTGAAATTTCAGTTATGCCAGCAAAAGAATTTGAGTTCTGGAGGCTCTACAGCAGGGTTCCCCAATTCTGGTCCTGAAGGGCTAGAATCCAACACAGCTTGCAGATTTGTGTACTAATAAGCAAATAACTATGTTTAGTAGCTGTGTTGAGCAGGGAAATCTGCAACCTGTGTTGCAAACTTCAGGACTGGAATTGGGGAACCCTGCTCTGCGGTGATGGATGTCTGATGCACAGAAGCAGCTTTTCTGTGTCTGATACAGGGGATCTGGTGATAAACAACACATCAGAAGACTATGATGATGCTGGTACTGCTGGGCAATACTCAGGAAATTTGTTTGGTAAATATCATTCATCATATGGATCCATGATTATGGTGGTTAATTAATGACAACAGTCATTGATGCAAAAAAGCATGTTGAATTACACTTATCAGATAAAACCAAAGAGCATTTAATAATGATTCAATATATGTGGGCTGTAATTTCATGTGAATGTACATTTGAACATTGAACATTTCAACTGAAAATATTTCAGGTGTAATTACTGTACATTGGTGAAATAATCAATACAAAAGTATTCCACTTCCACAATTCAGTTCCAAAATATACAGTTTATAAAGTTCATTTTTATAATTCAGTTGCCTGAATTCAGTTAATTTACTTTCACCTCAAAATAAATTTCAAGATAACAAATTCAGTTGGAAACATTTGATGTGTTATAATGCCATCTTCAAAATTCAAGAGGTGATATTCAGTCCATTTATTTTCGTATTATGGAACTGAACTGTGGAAGCGGAATATTTTTGTATTGATTGTTTTAACAAAGAAATGAACTGAAATATTTTCAAATGAAGTATTCAATGTTTAAAGGTACATTCACATTAAAATAGTTGCCAAATATTCAAGCATTATTAAATGCAATCCGTTTTTATTCAAGTATTATTAAATGCACTGCCTTTTTTTCGATTAGTGTAATTCAATGTGGTTTTTTGCATCAGTGACTTTTATCATGAATTTACTTCCATACTTAATCATTTAATTTCATAATTGAATTATTTAATTTTTTATGAAGCACATTATACTGTAAGATTTTGAGAAAAATACTTTATTAAGACTACATAATACTGGTATTTTACTTATTTTGCAGTACATAAAATACAGTTTCAAATGAGACAAGCAGTCAATAACTCTAACAGTCACTGGGTTCCTGTATACTGAGGGCTCTCTTTTCAGGTTCAAGGTTGATGGTGATAGGAGACACACCAGAGGTCTATGGTGAGGTTGAGTTTATAGAACAGAGCCCACATGTTTTACTAGTTCAGTTTTACTTTACATAACTGTGCAAAGGAGCAAAGTGTTGCATCATACTGCTCCTTTTAGACAGTATGATCATCTGTATGCTGCTCTACATATTTATAATAATAATTATGTTGTTTATAAATAGCAACACTTATTTGAGTGTGACTGACATGGACTGACAGTAATTTTAATCACTTTATGTATGTCTGCTACAATTAATAAACATATTATTTATGTTTCACATGCAACTGTCATTTCTACTAATTTCCAGTTACACTTGCTGTAGTAATTTCTCAATAAGGACACCCAGGCATTCGTGTAGAATTAGTCTTCTTTACTACACACCATATGTCTTCCAACAACACCACGTTTTTCTACCGCCACCTCCCTAACCAGCCACCGGCTAATTAACAACCCTCTATTGCCCCCTACAGGACATCTATAACCACATACTCCATCTACTACACTTGCTAAATATTTTGTGTCCGTTACAGCTTTCATATAGCAGGAACTTTTTCAGTAACCAGAACCTTTTTTCTCATTTGTCAAAGTGTGCATAAAACATTTCCTAAAACGTGCGTGAGAGTTGCTGGTATGCACAGGCAAATTGGTATTTATCACTTGTGCATAAAAACAGCTGTACGAAGTGAATGTTGATAAATCGTATTCGTTCTATATGAGACTGCGCATGCACTGTAAGACTAAATTCTAGGGCTGCCAACTAACGATTGTTTTTCTATAGATTAATCTATTGACAATTTTATAGATTGGTCGACTAATTTAAACGATTAATTTTCATTCAGAAAATGAACTTGACCCTTTAATTTAATTTTGACAACAGTGAACTGTATGCTGTAGAAACTGGAAGAAAAAGTCAGATAATTTCTCACAAGTGAGGACGCACACCCGCCTCGTTTATTAACCACCAATTAAACCGAGAGAACTTCTTAGGATGACCCCCGCCACACCATAAAAACGCCAGCCACTCAAATTGACCGCACTCACCCAGCTCACATTACCTGCTGCGTTCCTGTACCATGCATGATAAGGCACGATATATAAAACGACTAATGCATAAAAACACGAACTCTAACTATTGCTACTTATGCTCGCATTATACTTAAACTATCATGGATGGTGCATATTATTAATGTCCGCTACAATGCCTGTCCAGGGCTTTAGATAATGTACATCGGCTTTTCGGCACTATATACGCACGTTATTTTCGCCCATGCACAATTCACCTATCACATCAGTAGTATGCCTAAAAATATTAACGAGATGCCAAAAGGTTAGTATATAAATTCGCCGTATCCACGATCATGCCTAATCTATTCGGTTAGCGGAGCACGCTACGTGCGACACAAGCGATAAGCGCTGAAGTTGCAATGAAGGAAGGGAGAGCTCAGCAACTAGAACACGTTTTAAAAAGTGGTTAAACAGATACTGTGGTTAAACAAGGTAAAAAGATGGTGTGGCGGTACTTAATTTGCACCTTTTTTTATGGCTTTCATTTTTATTTCAGTTCACAAATTAATTTCTTTTATTTAGTGTTTGTTTTCATTTCAGTTTTAGTTTACCATAACAACACAGGTCCCAACAAGTCCAACGTGCAAAAATGCACACCGGCACCGTCAATCAACGTAGAATAAGACCAGATTTTAGCGTTAACACTTATTCAATGTACATTCTAATGTAGCAGACGGACAACTTTATGAGTTTAATAAGGAGTGTATTTACAGCAGCTACAAGGACAAAAAATATTAAAAAGGTCCATTGTCCAGAATAGCTCCTGTACGTTTCTTCTTCAGGTGTTCGTGCGTAGCACTAGTGCCTCTATGGCAAGGGTCACCTACCTTTTTGAAACTGAGAGCTACTTCACAATTACTGAGCCATACGAAGGGCTACCAGTTTGAAACGCCCTTCTAAACATCATGTAAAATAGACGTTTTACATGCTTTATTTTAGACATTGTCATTTTCAAAACTATATAAATGCAAATGTGATTAAAGAAGAATAGCAACAGGATAAAATTAAATTTTAGACGCTGCATGCTCACTGGTGAGTTGTGCTATTTTTAGAACAGGTCCGCGGGCGACTGGTGTGGTCCTTGTGGGCATCCTGGTGCCCGCGGGCACCATGTTGGTGACCCCTGCTCTATGGTATGCCATCATACTTTACACAGTGTAAAACCACCTTTTTTGTTTTGTTATAATTTGAACTACTCCTATAATTACATAGTGATATCAAAGAAAAACATTTATTACAACGAATGTGGTAGCAAACTTTGAGAAAGATGACAGTGCCTGAAGCTTCAGCAAAATATTTTATTGTACATGATATTGTTTCTATTTATGTATGAAAATAGCACTGTACAGGTACTGAATCTGTATCATACAGTGCCGGTGTGCACTGTACAGGTACTGAATCTGTATCATACAGTACCTGTATATCCATTTTGTTGCTGTCCATCAGATACAATACTGTATGCATACTACATTACAAGTTAGAAATGGAAAATGATTCAATGGTTGGCAGCGCTGCCCATTCTCCATCACCTAATTTGGCACTAAATGATATACCCACTATGGGCCTACTACGTCTGCTTTCAGGTGTCTCTTTATCAATATATATTATTAATTTACTAAAGTAGTGTATATTATTTACCATGGACTTCAGACGTAAATGTGATTAGACGTGACTCAATCAAATGTATCTCAATGTAAGACTGTATTTAATCACACTGATATTTTTTTGGCCAAGGATGTTGTATGACTTGGGAACAACTCCTTGTTATGAGTATGACTTGATTTGCCATACGTAACTAGGTCATTCTACTTGTCACTCTATAAAGGTCGAAAATTTAGAGGGAATCTGTGCATATCCTAAGTGCCAATTGGTTTGCCTCAGTTATGCTTATCTGCTGCTAGGGGTTTGTGTGTACGACTGGTTGGGAGTGTTTGTAAATATACTCACATTTCTATACACAAGAAGAAATGTATGAATGCCATTCTGTAGTTATAAATGTGCATACACACAGTTGACACACAAAACTGTTTGTACGCTTGATTGATAAATGAGACCCCAGGTTCTGGAACTCCAATGTGAAAGTGCCTTATGTCCCTGTAGGTGAGAGAGCCTTGATGACACTGCCCCCCGAGGATGGCCCCCCTGAACCCGACCAGACTGACTATGATGATGTGGGGGAGGAGACTCTGCAGGTTACATAGAATCTTTGCGACTAAAAGTCCTGTCTGAAGAAGCTTTTCTCCAAAAGTTCATGAAGTTGTTTTTCAAATGAGCTTCATGTTGTACAGCAGCATGTGCCACATGACCATTCCTATTTGCATTTTATGAAGTTTTAAGGTTAATTGTTAAGGTTTTTTATAGTATTACTTAAGGTAAATGTAATTTCATAAAATGCTCTTGTATATATACAGTCATTGACAAAAGTCTTGTCACATAAGGACATAGTAACTTAAAAAGGCATATAACTTTATTTCTAATCAATCAATTGTTACAATAAATGGATCAATTTAATGCCAAGGACTTTCACATTAATAATTGGGTGCAAAATGAAACAGTCAAAAAGTGTCCTGTTGTTAAAGTCCATAAACACCTGTTTTTGCAAGGACAAAAGTCTTGTCATGTCTTTTAATGATTCAACCAATCACAGATTAGAGGTTCACCTGTGACAAAAACTGTAATTAACATAATCCCAGGTGTGTATAAAAAAATCCCCAGCACACCAGACCTTCATTTGAAGTGCAACCTGACTTCTGACAACATGCCAAAGATTCAACCACAGACCAAGTCTGCTGAGGTGTCAGACATCGTTAATGTATCCAAACGTCAAGTGAAGAGGATTAAAAAAAGATATGAAGAAACTGGTGATGTTCATGACAAGCCCAGGTCAGGCAGACCACGTAAGACAACTCTTCGAGAGGACCATTTGTTACTTTGAAAGTCCAGGGCCAACCCTTTTTCAACTGCAGCAGAGCGACATCAGAACTGGTCACCAGAAACCGCTGTGTCTACAAGAACAGTTTCTCGAATTCTCGCACGCAATGGTCTCCATGGCCGAATTAGTGCTCAGAAACCAGCATTAATGAGAACACAACAAAAAAAGCGTGTTGAATTTGCCAAGGCCCACAGCTTGCAGCAAGGATGGACAGTGGCAAAGTGGCAGAAGGTTGATTTTTCTGACGAATCATCCATTGAACTGCATACCAAATGCTGCAAATACTGCAGGAGAGCTGTTGGAACTTGCATGGACCCAGGATTCACCCAGAAAACAGTCAAGTTTGGTGGAGGAAAAAATCATGGTTTGGGGTTACATCCAGTATGGGGGTGTTCGAGAGATCTGCAGAATGGATGGCAGCATCAACAGCCTGAAGTATCTAGACATTCTTGCTGCCCATTACATTCCAAACCATAAGAGGGGGCAAATTCTGCAGCAGGATGGCGCTCCTTGTCATACTTCAGCCTCCACATTGAAGTTCCTGAAACTGACGAGGATCAAGGTGCTCCAGGATTGGCAAGCCCAGTCACCAGACATGAACATTATTGAGCATGTCTGGGGTAGGATGAAGGAGGAGGCTTGGAAGACGAAACCAAAGTATCTAGACGAACTCTGGGAGTCCTGCAAGACTGCTTTCTTTGCCATTCCAGATGACTTCATCAACAAGTTATTTCAGTCATTGCCAAGACGTATGGATGCGGTCCTCCAAGCTCATGGAAGTCATACATGTTATTAATTCTTTCTTCCAAGGCACCATGACTTTATGTTCTGATGTTATTGCAGCATGTGTGTGTATTCTAAATAAAGTATATGTATAATTTCTACATTATTTTTGTATATGACAAGACTTTTGTCCAGGCAAAAGTTGACCTTTCTGTCCTAATTACATGACAAAACTCAATGAATGATGAAAAACTTTATTTTGGTATAATAAGCATAATCTAGAGGGCTTTGCCTTTCTTATAGTCCAACTGATTAACTACAGCTCAAGTTATTATTTGTTGTTCCAACAACTTGGTTAAGTGACAAGACTTTTGTCAGGCACTGTAAGTTAAAATGTGATTTTTGTCAGTTGTTGTCCAGCTGTAAAATATATTTTCCAAATTTTGATCCCTGTGGAATTTTATGATTTATTTATGATTATAGTATTTCTATCCTTCACATGATTAATTATCTTTTGAAATTAAACTCATGAATTGCAAATGTTGAGAAATGTTTGCCTCTCTCCTAACACTGGGAATTTTAAAATGAAATGTTACAAATCTCCCCTTACATAAAATATATTTCTTATTACTTACAATTCATCCATCTTCCACCTATCTTCATAACCATTTCACCAGCTTAGGGCCCTCTGTGTGTGTGTGTGCGTGTGTGTGTGCGTAGGTACACACCTTTTTGCTCGCTTTACTGCGAATGATGCCAGTGATATTGTGGCTACCGAGCAGTGTTGGGGTCACTCAGGTATGCATTCATCAATTCCAATCCAGATCAGGAAATGGAACCGGAGCTGGGATTGGAAAAAAACTATGGGGAACAGAATTGGAATTGAATTCGAATTTCAGGGAGATTTAAAATCCAACTCCAGTTCCTTTTCCTGATTTGGATTGGAATTGATGAATGCATTCTGGAATGACCCCAACCTTTCTATTGAACATTAGATTTGCTTATCCCTATGGCATTGAGCAGCAGATAAGCAGCCAGCCCAGAAGGCATTTCTGTTAATGCTCTGCAACCTTGTGCTAATCAACTTGCCTGGGTACTTAAATTTTCAACCTGTCCCTGTCCGGCATTGAGGCTCCATCATTGTCTGAATTCCAAAAATTCCTAACCCGACCTGTCCAAATATCTATCACCCTGTTGCATTGACCTCCCTTGTAATGAAGTGCTTTGAGAGGCTGGTCAAAGATTATATCTGTTCCACCCTCTCTATGACCATTGATCTGCTTAAGGTTGCCTATTGCTCTAATAGGTCCACCAAGAATGCCATCGCCTATGTCCTGCATGCCACTCTCACGCATAACTGCATGACCAAACACAGCTCCAGTAAAATAATCAAATTCACAGGTGACACAGTAGTGATTGGCCTTATCTCCAATAACTCCAAGAAGACCTACATGGATGAGGTAAACAATCTGACACAGTGCTGTCTAGGCTTGGGCGGTATCCAAATTTTGATACCGTCAAACCTCCTCCCTATTTTACCTCGGTATACGGTATTACCGTGAATAATAAAAAAATTGTGACGTAAGGCTCAGACAGCGCGTCACCAAACTGTTGGCTTGTGCCTAAACTGTTCAGAANGGTATACGGTATTACCGTGAATAATAAAAAAATTGTGACGTAAGGCTCAGACAGCGCGTCACCAAACTGTTGGCTTGTGCCTAAACTGTTCAGAAACTGAATACCAAACACTAATACTGAAACAATAACAAAATAACATGCAGAACAATATTAACAACTTTTATTAGCAACAAACAGCAGTTTATAAAAAAGTGGAAATACAACAGTCAAACAGAATTAAATAAAAATTTATGTTAAATTTAACATAAACAGTTTTCGCGCACACAAATCAAATTAAATCACGCCGCCTGAACAACTTTTAATAACAAAGAAGAGCAGCTTATAAAAAAGTGCAAATAGACCCACAACAGTCAACCAGAGTTGAATTAACATAAACATATCCATATTATAAAAAGTATTGCAAAGCAATAGTCCTAAACAAAAACATCTTTCCAGTCTTATTTCCAATTTTGTTTTTAACGTAAACCAAATAAAAATACCTCAATCAATTAAATAAATAAAAATAAACACAGTGCGAATAGGAACGAATGGCAAGTGGCATCAATCTAGTCAAGATTTCTCACTAGAAAAACCAGCATGTTTACTTTGTCTGGCTTTAACAGGGCACGTTGTGGACCGACAACAGACGCACAGGTACTTTCGTGCCACTCGCGACATCTGGGGAAAACGCCCGGCAGCATTTTTCCACCAGAGAAGTGGGTCCTCGTCTATTGAGTTACTGGCTCCAAACAGTAGGCTGTTATTTCAGCTCCGACTCGGTCCTCTACGGTGCCGATTCCGACGGGATGCAGTCAGGGTGGCCTCAGGATTGCCTCGCTGCTATTTGCAGATGATGTCGTCCTGTTGGCTTCATCTGCTGGGGACCTCCAGCGTGCTCTGGGGCGGTTCGCAGCCGAGTGCGAAGCGGCGGGGATGAGGATTAGCACCTCCAAGTCCGAGACCATGGTTCTCAGCCGGAAACGGGTGGATTGCCCTCTTCAGGTCAGGGAAGATGTACTGCCTCAAGTGGAGGAGTTTAAGTATCTCGGGGTCTTGTTCATGAGTGAGGTGTTGGAAACTTTTTCCTTTGTCGAAGCAGAGACCAGGAGACGTTGGGATATCTTTCCGGCCGAAGTTCCTCTTTATTGAGAA